CCCCTCATCCCAATCCACCCACACCGCAGTATTTTTTTCTTTTTTTTTATCCAAAAAATATATTGTATATTATCCGTGCTATTAATACTTTTATCGGGTCTATCGGGATGACCTCATAATTCCTAATATCGGACCGATTAGTGGTGCCGATAATTATCGTGCACCACTAATTTCACAATTTTTAATCATGGTGAGCTTGAGTTTGTGCAGGTTGCACAAACTCAAGCCTGTCAGGACATCGAGTCCACAGTTTCCCTAACAGAAAAAGGACCGGAGCTTGCTTTCGTTCCTGGGTACGTTGTGCGAGGTGCATCCACCCCCTGCAGTATTTTCCACACAAGCACCTATCAAACAAAACGTTTATCAGGAAACCGTATTACATCTCTCTCCCCCCTTTGTTCCTCTCTCTCTCTCCCCTCCGGTACACAGCACCGTAAGACGTAGTGTGGAGTTGCATTAGGTAACTCGAGATACGGCTGATACTTGCGCATTAGTTTCTGTTATGGATCAGTATCAACAGTCCTGCCAGTAACGTTACTATATTATCAATGTTACTTTAGTTATAGCCTGATATATGATAGCTAACTTTACAATGTTGTGATGTGACTGACGTTAGCTAACATTAACTGTAGCTAACGCCGGTCACTCACCAAGACAGCTGCCCTGTTCTCCACTGGTTCTCCTCACACCACAGCTCCATTTCTCTCCGATGGCCGTTATTTCTTCTAATCCTTGGGTGCTCCTGGCCTCTTGGTTTCTAGCAGGCTCATAATTATAAGGTTGTGATCCGTCATATGCATACAAATATACATTTTCAACCTCTTCTGTGTCAAAACTAGCATTGTGAACCATGTTTATTCATACGTTAGGCCGGCCGCTCTCCCTGATGTGACGTCAAATGCGGGAGGTCTTTTTTTATGCAGAGGATGTCTTACAAAAACAACGCCAGATGTCACTATAGTGTATATTTATGTATATTCTTTTGAAAATCTAGTGTATTCATCATTTTCCTAAACATTTATTCACTGGGGTCTCTGACATACAAGTTGCTCTTTAAGTGTGTATATCTGATCTCAAATGTCTAAAATTAATATTTTGAATAGATTTAAATGTTTTATAATGTTTTTTCTTATGCACTGTGATAATTCTTATACATTTTTGTCACGTTTTTTGTTTGAATATGCCATATTACTAGACTAGCCTTGCCCTTGTAGTAAAAGTGATGATGAATATATTGTCTTGAAAATAAAATTGGACCATGAAGTAATGATTTTTCTTTAACCAAGAAATTAAGAATTAACACAAACTAAGATATGCTTCAATCGTTTACTAAGGTTTTCTATGATACTCTGGTTGTATATTGATGGATTGTGTTGGTGCGTGTTTCAGTTTGTGGAGAAGAGAAAGGAGATGAAGGCTGATGGGAGGACGGACAAGGAGCTGGAGGAGAGCTACTGCTTCTTGTTGGCTGAAAATGCTAAAGTGAGATTAACACTGTCTGAAGTTACACCACACATCTCTCAAAGTCATCAGATCAGTCTGCTGTTGACAATACACACAACTTCCTGTCTTTTTTTTTTAAGTCGTTCTGGTTTTTATACTTGATGACTGGCAGGATATGGACATGGCATGTACCTAAAGTAACAGTACACAATTATACTGCATTTAAATCTCAATGAAAATGCACTTTGACCATTATGATAACTGTACACTTATTTAAAAACAATAACTCCAAATGCACATGTTTTTAGGAAAGGAATAGGAAACTGAACAAGAAAATCCTTGTCTCTTACAAGCTTTATCGTTATGATCAATATTAATCCCATTCTATCAGACAATCTAATTTCTCCCTTTTCTGAATTGTTTGTGTGTTGTAGCTGCCTGTGCTGTGTGAGAAGGGGCTGCAGGTGGGTCAGAGTTGGATCACAGTGCTGGGAAACCCCACCAAAGGTAGGAGTCACAGTTTTAACCATTTTGTATCTGCTTATTTTGAATTCCCAGCTTATTCTCCGTTTCATTGTTATTTGTAACTTCCATTGGTGAAAACATCCAGCACTAACATCTACCCTTTTGTAGAATCAACCTTCTTTTTGCCCACAAGTTGGTGTAAGATGAAAGGAAATGAACCTGTGATTTCATTTGTGTTCTTCCTGTGTGTGTCTCTAGGAGTGTATCTGTCCAAATATTCAGACCTGCTTCAAGTCAACCCCATAAATCCCGGGTTCACAGGGGATATGGTCATCTTCAAAGTCATGAAGGTAAATCATGTCGGACACAGGAAACGAGTGAGAAGTTTCTGCTTCCTGCTTTGTTGCAGTGCAAATGTTTTTTTCTTTATTTTGTTCTTTGTTCTTTATGTCATATGTACAGTAGCTACAGTGTAGAAATGAAAATCTTAAGTCCCAAGCTCCTCCAACATTGCAACATAGTTATATAGGACATAAAACAATAAAACAGATTACTAAAACCAATTATAAATAAAAAATAGTGCAAGAAGAAACAGAGTAGAATAGATTAGAATAAAATAGTGTTAGATTAAGTTGCAGACCAATGTGCAAGTAATGCAGATGAAGTAAACTATAAACATGTCAGAAAAAGACTACAATAAATAAATACAATAAGCTCAATAATGCAGAGAATGTTGTAAGTGACCAAGTAAATGCAGGAGTCTATATAGAAGATATAGAAGAGAAACTAACCAAAATGAGTAGACATAACCTTATACAGACTGATAGATAACTCCTATAGGGATGTACAGATGAAGTTGGATCTGGAGTCAAAAGGCTTGTTTGAGACGAGCTGCGGATCGCCTCGAAAGTAGACGAGAATAGCTGATTGCAGCTGGGGGAGGTCTCAAAGTTCGCCTGAAGTCGGACAGCTCGAAGTCGGCCTGACTCGGTTTGCAATGGCAGAAATTGCGCTGGCATTCTTCGTTGCAGATGAAGTGGATGCAATAGAAATCCCACAATTATTATATCACTACTAGGGGCGGGTACCGAGCCCCGGTATTAAACGGGCCCCGAGGCTGAATTATTAAAGACCGTGGTACCGTTAAGCTCTGACGTTATCGGTCTTTTTATCGGTACTGGAGACATCTAAAAAATGTATGTCATATGTATTATTGCTTCACAAACATTATATTGCAGTTTTAGTGTCGCCAACTCCGTTTCTAATATGCAATAAGACGTCTATGATTATTTTTTAGTATTTTCGATCTTTCCAATCCAGTCGAGAGATCTCTCTCTCCCCCGCCTGCTTGGGAGGGGGCGGGGCAGTTTTGAAAATAGCTATGGCGAATAGCCAGGCCGAACAATTGGCCATGAGAATATTTCCAAGAAAACCTCTTTTTTTTATTCCATTTGACCTTGTTTTGGTTTCACTTATTTTACCTTGTAACGAAAAATAAAGAGAGGCCGGTAGAGGAGGCACACCACACACAACGACGTACATCGTCGACTCGTCCGACGCATATC